GGAAAGTGAGTGTTTGGAGCCTACACCTTATCAGGCACTAAATACCACAGTAGCGGCAGCTCCTTGTGCCAAAACTCAAGGCTGGATCTGGGGCAAAAATGAGACTTTTGGGTAAACTCAGGTGTCCCAGGGGTGGGAACGCCCCTGCCCCATATGGGGGAGTCAGAGCAGTGTTTCTCACCCCAGCTTGGTGTGAGCAGAGCTGGAGCCAGCCCACTCCTCTTCAGGGCTGGGACAGCAACACATCAACCAGCAGTGCCATGGAAATACTCCTTTTTTTGGGAGGTCTTGAATAAATCCATGCAAGAGACTTTGCTCAGGGAGAACTTTTATACTTTTAGTATCTGTTGTTCCTTAGGGTTTGGGGTTTTTTTTATTTTTTTAACAAAGGTTTTAGTTGAGCAAAGAATCCCATCTGTATGGCTTTTTTATTAAAAGATAAAAAGCTGGAGTTCACAGGAGTTAGCATTAAGTCACAGTCCGCAGCAATCCGAGGTACTCGCTGGCTGGGGACTCTCTCTGTTTATTTCAAATACCCCTTTATCATCCTGTTGAAAGAGCCCTGTGCTCTGTAAAGCTCAGCCAATTGAAAAAAGAATCAGATAATGAAGACTGATGCTGCACTGATGACAGCCCCTCAGATCTTCAATAGGATTGCTCCAAAATCAAAAGACTTTTGCGTTTTATTGTCACACTCGTGGCTCAAAAATAATTAAATGGAATCTTTTAGCTCTAGAAACAAAAATGAAAATTTTAAAACAGCCCCCCACACCTGCAGGAAAGGGGCTAATGGGAATATCCAGTGGGCATCGGGCTGGATTCTGTGTGAATTTGCAGATTGTGCAGATTCTGTGTGAAAATCTGGTGATTGCAGCAGGTGCCCGGCACACGTGTGGTGGAACAGAGGTGACACCACTGCTCTGGGAGACAGGAGTGGCAGCCACCCCCAGAGCTCCCAGCCCGGATGGAGCTGGAGAACCCCACGTTCCCTCTGCCCTCGGCACAGCTCTGAGCCTCAGCTTCACTTTTACCTCTGGAAACTTTGAACAAATTCATTGCTCATTGCAGTGGAAGGCAGATAAATAAAATATATTGGGAGCGATTTGTGCTGTAACTAAACCCTGAATTTATAGAGGGAGAGCGTGGCCAACGACAACTTTGTCACAGCACATGAAAGCCTGGAAATCAGGCTGTGCACTTTTACCTGATCTTTGAAGAGGCATCTCCAGAGTCCCCAGGCTGGGCACAGGGTGAGGAGCAGCTCTGTGGTCCCATTGGGGGGTCCTGCTGGAGGAGGGGACACGGCACACCCAGCCCAGATGGGTTTTAGGCAAGGCACTAAACCCGAAATGCTATAACTCGATTATTTCTTCTGCAGGCTCCTTTTGACAAAACTCCTCCATTTTCAAAGAGTTACACAGGATTTAGCCCCGCGCCGCTTTCATGTGAATTGTGTGGCTAAAGTTCCATGCAGCTCTTTGAAAATTTCAGAGTCGTCGCTTTCCCCAAGATCGACAACTGTTTTATTTCTCTTGACAGAAAATGGTGAGAGAACAAACACTGCCAGGGTGGGGGAAGCAGTTTGGTCATGGGCTCTGCAGCACCTTTAATGTGAGGCTCAAAGAGCCACGCAGGAATGGCAACTCTGCTGTACCTGCACGAGTTCTGCGGGATTGTCCTTTCCTAGGAGGGAAAACCTGGGTGGCTCTGGGTCCTTTTTCCTTTCTTACATGTAGGGATGTAGGGAACAGCACTTTGGGTCCCTTTGTTCATCCGTGGAACCAAGGACAGGGAACGAATTGATCATTGCTTTGGTAACCCCATCCGAAACCAGCTTCTACCATAAATTCTTCTGCAGTGGATGTAATTAGCGCCAGTTATTTGTAATTAGCCACTCCTTGGGTGATGCTGTGTCCCCTAAGGCCGTTCCCAATGGTGGCAGTGGCAGGACTGGCACCAGCTTGCACCAGGATTGCTCCAATCCCTGGCCCAGTGTGTTGGCAGCAGCTGCTGCTCATCCATGGATCTGAGGCTTCATCCTGCCTCCAAATGCCACTCCAAGCATGTCCAAGCCACTGCCCTGTGCTGTGTCACAGGGGGACAGAGCACAAATCGCCTTGATCCTTCTCCTGCCTTTCTCTCAGTGCCTCAAACTGTGGGGCTTGGCTCTGTCTCTGGAAATATACCACAGATTGGAATTCTCATTTTTAAGTTCATTTCTGCTCTGATTTAAAGGCTGAATTAACAAACAATGGCTTATTTGGTTTAAAATGCAAAAACACCATCTGGTCTTTGAGATGTGCTAAGCCGCAGCGGGGGGAGCCAGAATGACACATGGGAAGGGTCTCCAAGTGGCACGGGTGAGGCTCCCAGGAGGAATTCCTGCCGCTCTTGACCCATGTCAAGGCAAGGAAAGCTGATCTTCGGAGTGGGCATTGCTACAGCTGCAGCTGGTGGCCTGGGGACAGCTCGATTTCAGGCCATGCTGCGCTTCAGCCTCGCCGCTGGCAGCTCGGAGCAGCGTCCTGGGAGCTCTCCTCTGCCCCTGGCTCCACTCCTCACCCTGATGCAAAGTTCTGGAGGGGCTTCCACAGGCATTGCTGGCCCTTGGGTTTTCCCTGGGCCACAGCTTTAAGCCTTGCTCCAGAGCTGGCACAGGGCTTTCCACCCTGGCATCCCTGGCACAAGTGAGTCTCAGGAGCCAGTGCCCACTCGGCCAGCAGGACTCAGGGAGTCACCTCATCCCATAGGAGCATTGATTACACCCTGTACTTGTGGCTGAGGTCAGTCTCTGCGCTCCTTCGTGCCCCAGCCCTGTGCCCACACTCCCCGTGCCACTCCCGGCTCCGTGCTGTCCCTGGCTGCTGCTGATTTGATTTAATGCAGCTTTCAATCACTGCCAGCGGGCCCCGCGCTGCAGCAGCATCACTGCTAAACACTCTGTGACAAATAATCTGAGGCTAAGCTTCCAGGACAGAGGAAATCGCTTTCCTCTCGAAATTAGAGTTGATGCATAATGGAAGGCACTAAGACGTCTCCAGCAGGAGCATCGGCAGTTTGAGCCCGTCCCGAGTCCCCGTCCATCTGCGGGAGGTTGGGGCAGTCATTTCCTAGAGTTCAGGATTTGCAATTTGCATTCTATAATCTCCCGGCCATTTACCAGCAGATAATTTGTCATGGTTTGCTTTAGCTGTTGTGATATTGATATTTATTATGCAAATTGTATTTCCTACTACTTATTGTCCTCACCCTCAGAATCCTTGAATTATTATAAACCTGTTTAGTTAATAGGGGTTGTCTCTCGGTTGATGTCTGAGCGCAGCGGGTCCCAGTGTGTGATCCCGTGCAGGGGGGCTGCACTGGGTATTTGGGGATGCCTGGGTATGGGATGGCACAGCGGCCAGTGGAGCTGCCCTGCTGGCTTTGGTGGGGCTGGAGTCCTCCTGGAGAGGAGGGACTTTGGGGTCCCAGTGTAAAACAAATGCTTTCTCACTAACTGGGGTGAAGCTGGCTTAGTTATGGGATTGTGATGGTTTTTGGTGGCCCAAAACTCTACTTGTTGAGCAGAAAAGAGATGTTTGGCATGGCTATGGAGCAGAAAAGCTTGTCATCATGGGAGACAGAGAGTGGCATGGGGAGGTGGGGATGCAGGGAGGGGTGATGCCTCAAACCAAGTCCCAGGCAGCAGCGTTTTGGGTTTTCCTGGTTGTGAAACCAGCTTGGTTTCACATTCCAAAGGGTGAAAGCTCTCTCCAGCCCCACAGTGTGACTCAGTGCTTGCCTTGGGCAGTTTTAACCTCAAGCTTGGCAGAATCTGGGATGATGAAGTTGAACTGACAATTCACCTGCCTCAGGTTAACTCGGAATAACCTAATTAATAAGGTTGGGAATATTCGACATCCTCTGCGTTTGCTCCATTAACCCCTGCACGGACCCATTGCCAGCGATTCTATGGTTCCATTCCTGGTGCCGTGGGTGGGGGGAAAGCTTGGACCTTCCCGGGCGGGATGAATCCCCCGGTGACCCCGGCCGCTCGTCTGCCGCGTGTTACGGTTCAGCTGAGCACTCGGGGGAACGGCAGGGCGCAGTTCCGGGGCTTTACTTGTGAGTTTGCTCCGTTTAAATCCGTTGCGTGGGTGAGAAATCCGCAGAAGAGGTGGATTGGTTGCCGGGCTGCGGTTACCGAGCCCCGACCGCCGCCGCCGGGGGGCTCGTGGGCTCCGGCCCCTCCGCTCCCCCGGAGCCGCCAAGGCTCAACACCGCCTCCAGCGGCGCGGGGCCCGCTCCGGCGGGGAGCGGCACCGGGCCGGCCCGGGGGGCACCGGGAGGGTGCAGAGAGGGGGCACGGACACTGGGGACCCGCATCTGCTGAACGCGGGGATGCTGGGGGAACGCTCCCGGGACGGAGAGCGCTGGCGGGGGTGCCCGCGGGAAGAAGCATGCTGGGGTGGTACCCCGAGAGGAGGATGCTTTGTGGGGTGGGAGGGGGACACACAACCCTGGAAAGGGAAAGCTGGGAACGGGGTGAAAGCTGCGGGTGGGGCGCGGCGGTGCGGGGCCCGGGGGAGGTGCGGGGCCCGGGGCGTTGCGGGGCCGGTCGGGCGGCGGTGCGGGGGCACGGCCCCACCATGGCGCCCCCCGCCCGCCCGCTCGGGGGTCGGGCCGGTGCCGCTCGGTGCTGCTCGGGGGCCGGGTCCGGCCGGCGGCGCTCGGTGCCGCCCGTGGCCCGTTCGGCGCTGCCCGCTCGGGGGCCGGGCCGGGCCGGCGGCGCTCGGTGCCGCCCGTGGCCCGTTCGGCGCTGCCCGCTCGGGGGTCGGGCCGGGCCGGGCCGGTGGCGCTCGGTGCTGCTCGGGGGTCAGGTCCGGCCGGCGGCGCTCGGTGCCGCCCGTGGCCCGTTGGCGCGGGGCGGGGCGCGGGGCGTGCCGCCGTGTCGCCGCCCCGTGACGCGCCATCTCCCGCGGGCGGCGCGCGGCGGCGGCAGAGCGAGGCAGGTGCCGGCGATGGCGGGTCGCGCCCAGCCCAGCGGCCCCGCGGGCAGCGGCGGCGGCGCCCCGGGGCTCCTCCCGCTGCTGCTGCTGCTCCTGTCCGCCGCCGCCATCATCCCCCGAGGTAGGGAGGACGCGGCCCCCGCGCACGGGGCACCGCGCGGACGGGCGGTACCGGGGCGGGCGGCGCGCGGAGGGGGGGTTCGCGCTCGGGGACCGCGGCGGCGCTCGGGTAGCCCCGGTTGCGGCGGGTGCGGGGCGAGCCCGCCCGCCCTCCTCCGCCCCGGGCCGTGCCCGGAGCGCTCGGTGGTCCCGGGGAAGCGCCCCCGGCGGCGGGAGCGGCGGGCGGGCTCACCCGCGCGTGGCGGCGCGGGCAGCCGCTGCCGGTTTCCATGGAAGCGGCTTCTCCGCTGCCCCGGGGGGTCATCAGCGGCCCCGCAATTAAAAACTAATTGCTTTGCGCGCCCCCTCTATCTCCCCCCTCTCCGCCCCCCCCGGTGTTTGCGGCGGCGCGGGGATGCTGCACCCCTGCGGGAGCGGGGAACCTGTTGGAATCTGAGTGGAACTTGCGCGACGCTTCGCTCTCCCTCTTTCTCTCTCTCTCTCTCCGTCTTCCTCGCTTCCCACCCCTCTCTCTCCTTCCTCTCCTCTCTCCCCGGTGCCCCCTGCCGCAGCCGCGCCCCCCGCCCAGCTGGGCGCGCTCGGGGCGATCGCCCGGCTCGGGCGCTGCGGCTGGAACGGGCGCTGGTTAAATGTGGCTAACGAGGCCCCCCGAGCGGGGCCGGTTGGGTTCTCTCCGCGGCACCCTCGGGGCGCGGTGTCCCCCGTGCGTTGGGCGATCCCCCCACCCCGCCTGGCTTCGCTCCCCGCCGAGCCCGGAGCCGCAGCAGCGATCTGCGCTCGTGTCCGGTGGCTTCGGTTCGAGCATCCCCCGTTAACGCCGCTCACGTTTCCAGTATGTGCGTGGGGCGGCACGGTGCCACCCGGCCGTAGGAGCGGTGCTGTGTCCGGGATGTTTGGGAAGAACAAGAGGCCATTGAACGATCTGTTGAATCTCGCTCGTAGGAAAGGGGGGACGAAGGGGCCGCCAGCCCGGCGAACAAAGAGCTTTATTCACAGCCTGTGTACATGTCCATGCCTTCCCCGCTCTTCCCGGGCGGCCTTTTCGGTGGGATGGTGGTGAGGGGAGAGCGCTGGGGTCGTTTTCGGCTTGCTCTCCCCGCGAACGGGGCCGGGGCCGGTGCCGGTGCCCGCCCGCCGGCTCCGACCGGGGCTGCGCCTCCCGGCTGCGCTGGGCAGCCCCGAAGGGCGGCTCTGCCCCGATGCCGATGGCTCCTTTCCTTCGCTCCGCAGCCCCGAGCCCGTTCCGGGGAGCCGGAGCGAGGGAACGGAGCCAGCGCGGCGGCTCTTTGCGCTGCGAGCCGGGGAAACGCTCCGCGCCCGTTCCCCGCGCCCGGGCTTCCTGCGGGCGCTGTGTTGTAGATCCCAGATGTCTCGTCACAAGGTGCTGTTTGTGTGTTCGGTGCTTTTCGCTGCCTGCTGAGCCTCCCGCCGGTGTGACCTGGGATCTCTGGTACTGAGAGATGCCCAGGTTGGGAATACGAGCCCGGCTCCTGGACGGCCGCGTTCATCCTTTGTTTTGCTGTCTTGCTCACCTCAATTTTCTAAGAGCAGTTTTTAACTGGAGGCCAGAGTGATCCCCGGCAGGCTCAGCCTGTTCGCTGCTGCCCAGCCAACGGGTGGAACTGTGATTTGGGGTCGCAGAGCTGCTGAAGGGAAACAAAAGCAGGGCTGGATGCTGGCTCGCAGTGGCTGTGCCTGACCCGAGCACCGGGGTGAGAAGCACCGCGCGGCGAGCGCTGAGGTTGTGGTAAGACAGATATTTTGTGGTTGCGCTGCTGTGAATCGCAGGAAAAAATCCCAGACTGTCTGCGTTTAGGCAGAATTTCCTTACAGCTGGGGACCCTTTATCCCCCCTGTTCTCCCCCTTTTCCAAGCTCACAGTGTTAGCTCCAGTGTTTTGCAGAGAGAATTAGTGTGAGGCAGCAGCGTCAGCGCAGAGTGCTGTGGCTGTGTCTCCCGCACGGCTGCCACCCGAGGCACAGCGGTGCCAGCGCTGTGTCACCGCCGTGGTGGCACCCCGTGATGCGGAGCGTGGCTCAGGGCTCTGCCGCCTCCTCTCACAGCAATAGGCAGCAGCGAGGCTCGGTTTGGGATGAGCCTGTGCGATCGGGTGGATCCGTGTGTGTCCGTGCTTCCTCTCCAGCCGCTCTCAATGCTCCGCGGTTCGTGGAGCTCCTGATGCCCTGTGCAGCAGGGCGAGGGCTGAGGAGCGCTCTTGGCTCCCTCTGAGGCACTTGGGCAGCGCTGGGCTGGAGCTTGGAGTCTGTCTGCGCTGGCACTCGGCACTTCAGGGAGAACAACTTTCCAGCAGAAGCCTCAAGAGGTGTTTGGAGACGGCGTTGGCGTGGAGCCGTGACCTGGCCGTGGCACGGGGCTGGCCAGGGCTGCTTGTGGCTGCAGCCTCCGTGTCTGCCGACACCAAACCGGCCCGGGAGAAGCCCCCATGAAGGCAGGGAGCGCTCCCAGCGCGGCTGCGCTGAGCCAGGCTCCTTTGTAAACACAGAGTGAGTTTCCAAGGAGCCTTTGTATGCAAGCGAGGCGAGGCTGCTCGTCCCTGGCCTTCAGCAACACGCGCCGCGTTCTGCATGCGGCGCAAACACCGGCGGGGAAGGGGCTGGGGAATAAAGTGATCCATCTGGGTTGCAGCTTGGGCTCATTTGTCTTGCATGTAGGCAGTTGAGCCCAGGTTTATAAGCACGACAATCTGGTTTAAAACCACTGCCAAGGAGGCTCCTGAGGACGGGGAGGCGAGGAGATCGCTCCGCTCCGTGCGTGCTCGGCTCTGAGGAGGGGGCAGCTGTCAGCACCTTCTGCAGGATGGACATCCCTGGGTGGATGCTGTTGGATGGACACCACCGGGATGGGCGCTCCGGTGTCCCTTGGCACGGGTGGCCGCTGCTGGTGGCAGAGGTGGCTGCGGTGACAGGAGGCTGGAGAAGAGCCGCGATCCCCGGGGACCCCCGGCCGTACCAGCGGCCGTGCTGCTGATGCTGCGCTGCCGTCGCCTTTGTTTGCCTTGTGCTGTCTTTCCTGGTGTGTAAATGAAGAAGGCTTTGTAATCAAACAGCGCTGGCTCCGTCAGCCGGGCGCTTGGCGAGCCTTGCCCCGGCCCTGCCAGCACCGGTGGGGCCGAGCCTGTGCCATCATGGGTGAGCTCTCTGCCCTATTGCTGGCTGGAAAATGGGTCAGCTCCTTAACCCTGTGTCTGCCTGAGGCCATCCGGAGTAAAACCTGTGTTCCAGCCTGGATACACCCTCTGCTTGAATGGACCATCCGAGCACTCCGCAGAGCACATTTGCTCATAAAAAGCAAAGCCACCCTCCTGCGTGTAGGCAGAGTTTTCTGGATGTTTCTCTTGAATGGCTGTTTTTTAGGGATTATTGTCAGACTTTGTATAGAGGTTTTGACAACCTGTTCCTCTTCTGGGTGTTGGTGGCACTCGGTGGTACTTCTGTCAGGAAAGCAGGGGCTCCCTCCTGTATCCAAACATTTCGGTTCCTGTCTGCAGCTCCAGATCTGAGCAGGCTCCAGGAGAGGAGCATGAGGCTGCAGCCTTCCCTGGAGCTGAGCCAGGAAGTGAATACTTAACACAGTGCATTGAGAGCACAAGCAAAGCTGGACACACAGCCAGTGTCTACTGAGAAATTGGATGCTACATGTTAAAAAAAATGAGTTGTGCTTGTTCCTCCGGGGGACGTTGTGAGGTGCAAACCCACCGGCGCTAAATAAAGGGACGCTGTGGAAACCTGCCACGAAGGAGAGATCCTAGGTGGAATGTTGTAATTAGGAGTGGTATGTACTTGTTTAAGTTCCATAAATCAGTCTCTTTCCCGGGCTGTAATTGCAGGCTGCAGAGAGCAGCTGCTGCTGCGGTTCCTGGGGAGCTCCACCACAAATGCTTTGAAGGTCGCCCAGCGTGGGCTCAGGCGCTCGGGGGCGGCGTGCTGGGGAGCAGGGTGGGTTGGGATGTGTGGCAGGCGGGTTGGAAGGGAAGTGCCACGAGGCCCATTCGCTCCCAGCCCTGTTAATTGGGAACACGGGGAGCTGTCGGCCGGCGCGGTGCCTGCCCTGCCCCGCCGAGATCAGCCGGCGTTTGTGGTTCAGCCACGAGCTGCATTTAGTTATTGCAGCTTTTAATTTGCGATGCTGTGGCTGCAGGCGACTCCTCTGATGGCCCTGCCCATGTGTGACCACCACCCGCCTGCTGTCAGCCTTTTTTGCTATGGAAACTGTTTTTCTTCTTCCCGGTGTCCTCGTTACCTGTTGAACCTCTCGGTTTTCCTGCTGTGTTGCACATCAGGCTCTCGCATCTTTGCAGGGTGTTGAGCTGGGTGTTGGGGAGCCCTGCAAACCACTGTGTGCTGCTGGATGAGGCTCTGAAAACCCGAGTTTGGTGTCAGTGTTGTTCACCCATCCCAGATTCCAGCAAGGAATGCAGATCCCCAAGGAGATTTGCTTCTCGGGGTCTCTCAGAGCCGCTGCTGAGCCCTCACCACACGCTCACCCGCAGTATGTGGCTGGTGGCTGCTTGCATTTAAAACATTTGCCTGCGTTGTACCAGGGACATTTGCTGCCCTCCACTCCTGGTTATTTTAGACCAACAATGTCCCTTTGTGGGGCTGGGCTGGCTATTTTTACCCTGTGGTATGGTTTTAATTTACTGTGTTCTTCTGTGGTTTAAAAACTTGAGCATTACAAAGACTCTGCCCTTACCAAATTCTCAAGGTGAATCAGTAGAATATTTGATACCCCATTAAGTTCCAGTCTGAAGGATCAAAGAGATACTTAGGCACATCTCTTTGCTCAGAGATATAAAACTTTTGTGGGCTGTAGCTTAACTGGAAAATGTCTTTAGTTTTGCTTTTTTAGGTATTTTTTTTGTCCCTGGAAGTGCTGGAGCTCCTTGGTGTTGTTGGTTTGCTGACAGTCTCATAGACTGGTGCTGCCTGCTGGCAGGTCTGTGGTGGGTTTGCTGTGGTCCTGCCCAAATGACACAGCCCA